TCAACAATGTCGAAGTTGAAATTTGAATTTGTAACGGCCCAAGCCCACTGCTAGCAGATATTGTCTTTTTTGGGATTTCCCTTTCAGGCTTCCCCTCAAGGCTTTAAAATGCGTCTGCTAGGGAAAGGTTTCCACACCCTTATAAAGGGTGTTTCGTTCTCCTCCCCAACCAATGTGGGATATCACAATCCACCCCCCTTCAGGGACCAGCATCCTCGCTGGCTCTCGTTCCTTTCTTCAATCAATGTGGGATCCTTACCAAATCCACTCCCTCGTCCTTATTGACACACCGCCTCGTGTCTACACCCTTCGGGGAACAACCTCCTCGCTGGCACATCGCCCGGTGTCTGACTCTGATACCATTTGTAACGGCCCAAACCCACCGTTAGCAGATTGGACTTTCCCTTTCGTCTTCCCCTCAAGGCTTTAAAACACGTTTGCTAGGGAAAGGTTTCCACGCCCTTATAAAGGGTGTTTCGTTTTCCTCCCCAACCAATGCGGGATATCACAAAATTTTTTATCTTTAGGACAATTGTAGAATGTCTTAATTTGTTGAGTCATGCTAGGGATAGTAGCTATTACAATTATGATTTTGGTATTATGTATTATGAATAGCGGGATTGGTTTTTTTTTTTTAATATTCTATTGAATGATCCAATCTTAAGCCATGGACTCCGTCGTATTACTTGGAACTTGGGAGTTAAGAACATCTGATGAGCATTATTTATTTCAAGAATCAAAAGGGCTATGCCTGCTAACTCGAAGAAGAAATCTTATCTTCCTAGTCTAAATAAATGTATCTTATGCCCTCTTTTGAACAGAAAAGAAGAGGAAGATGAAGAAGAAGAAGAAGAAGAAGAAGAAGAAGAAAAAGAAGTAGAAAGAACAGAAAGAGATGCAATGTAGATTGTCATAGGTGGGATATCTGAAACATGCATTGATGTGATACACATTTGGTAGAAGAAAGGCGTTTAACTTGTTTTTCATTTTACAGGTTAGACAATCTTATAATTGAGGCAATTTCTACCTTGAGAGAACGTAGTGGCTCTATTAAGAATAGCATATATAGAGGTAGTTTTTCTTCAATTTCTTATCAATTCAAGGAGAAAATCAAAGGCAAATGTTCATTTATGCTAGCATCCCAAACTTTCAGAAATAAAATTATACCCCCAATTTAGGAATTAGTCAAACCTCTCCATGGCTTAACCATTACAGAACATTGAAAAAGAAGTTAAAAACCAGTGGGATCGATAATTAAATGGATGATATTAGCGTTGAAGCACGTAAAGCTTTTGTGGCGAAGAAATACTAACACACACTTCCTATACCCGAGTTTCGTGAGTTTGCCACGAATACAAGTGTTCTGTTATTCACCAAAGGTGAAGCAGAAACAGAAAGACTAGCCATGCTCTGTTTAGTTAATCTTCACAATTAACTCATCATCCTCAGTAGAAGTTTGTTTGTTTGGTTGTTTTTTAAATTGCTGCTATTGATGAGTTCCTTTATTTATTTATTTTTTTTTTCCCCTTGCATCAATAGGATCAGTACTGGGCTCCTCCAGACTTCAAGCGGTTGTTATCATCGAAATTGAAGTTCTTAACAGCTAGTGGTAAACTGGTTAAGGTAAGCTAATCTGACATTTCATTGTTGATTTCTTTCTTTAAAAAAAAAGAACTCTGAAGTTATTCTGATTTGAGCTCTTTGTTCTTAATTTTTGGTTTCTTATTGTGGAATGCTTTAGTTTCTGTACTGTACTCCTATATTATGTGATGATATATATCAACTTCCTTTGGTGGAGTTGTGAGGCTGGTTGGAATTTTAGTTATCCTTTTGGACTATTTCGCCCAAGACGAGGACGAATTTTACATTAAGTTTAATGAGTGATAGAGCTGGACATGTAGAAGATCTCAATGCTTTGATTTGTTTTGTTGTCGGTAATTGTGAGGTTTTTATTTGTAACTGCGTTAGTATGGTAATTTTTATTCAAATCCCACAAGTGACTAAGCGTGAGACACGCCATAACATAAGGGGCGAATCGACTACAACTCATCTACAAATAAATCTTCTTTTTTCGGTCTATTTGCATCAGGCTTTTACTGTACTAGTAAGAAAGAAGGTGTTCTCAAAAGGGAACGAAATCCATATAAGATCCTGTGTGCCGGCTTAGTAGCGCGTAAACAGAATATGTAGCCTAAGCGGAACTCAATATTCAACCAACCTGTGATTGATTCCTTTATTCTTTCAACTTACTATCAATCAACCATGTCTTAAGTTCTCGTTGCAGGAGAACTTGGAACGTGCCATCTGAATGCGCATACAAATAGGGTCACTAATCGCCTACTACTAAGTTAGGTAAAGACAGAGAGTGTATTCTAGATTATACCAATCGGGTAGGCTGGACTGGAGTTCTGAAAAATCTCTTGTTTTATGGCTGTATTCTCGAGAGCATGCATCTTAATTTTCATTGTAGAAACACTTGAGGGGATGACAAATTTTGTTCGACTTTAATCTTCCACATTTTTTGTTATAAATATTGTTGTGAATCTTTGTACTTTCTTTCATATGCTAGATTTCATGGGTACCTAGCATGATTGCTTCTTAGTTGAGTTTCTTTTTGTCCAGGTTTAACGGAGATACAGGCTTGCTCCGACGGTGTCTTCTTGCGAGAGAAGGGGCTCTATGTTATTGTTGGACGACCAGCATAGAGCCTCTATGAGAAATAACAGAGATGAAATGTGTACACTGGCAAAAGCTCAAATGGATCTCAAATTGGCGAAGATGAGGACCATGACATCACAAGAGGCAGCTGCTGTTGCTGCTCGAGCAGTTGCAGAAGCCGAAGCAGCAATAGCAGAGGCCGAAGAGGCTGCAAGGGAAACCGAGGCAGCTGAAGCAGATGCTGCAGCAGCACAATCATTTGCAGAAGCTGCAATGAAGACACTGAAAGGAAGAAATCTTCCGAAGATGGTAAAACTGCATAATACGTACTGTTGAAAACTTGAAAATGCATTAATATCTATTTCTTCGTTTCTTAATTTCATGAGTCAAATAATTTTGATCCTTTTCTAATATGATTATACAAGAGGGATGTGACAATTTATAGAATCCACATTATTATCTTTACCATTGAGTTGACTACTTGAAGGGACCATAGTGTAAAATACGGGAAGTAATTCAAGGAACGAAACAACTACGTCGAGTTTTGAATACTAAAAACGAATAATTTTAAATTTGTTAAAACAAAAAGATGATTTTTATGACTGTTTCGAGTTTAACGAACATCTCAGAACTCTATTCTTATATGCTTCTCCTTTTGGTACATCTTAGCAGATGGTTCGAGTTGATGGAAAGCAAGACCTGATTTGGAGGAGTTATGGCGCTGTTCTTAATTTGATCGGACATGTTCTGCATTTGCTATCAGTAGAGCATTATAAGCAACTCCTCGCCCATCATTTTCAACCACTTTTTGGGCAACTCGAGCAACAGGGTCAGACTTGGATATCTAAACAAGGGAAGTTGCCATGGGCTTAGTTAGTTGCATGTAAAAAATGTATATTTCTTGTAGTATAGCAAATCTGTGGGCTTCATCTAATGCTCTTTCTGGTGTTGATCAATTATTACCATTGTTTATTTTGATAGGCTAAGCTTGTCCTCCAACTTTGAAGTTGAAATTAGTGTAAACAAGCTTTTTTTTTATACAATTATTTGTTATTCAACAATAATGACTGGCTGCCAGGCAATGAAATAAACGCTATTCTAAAGTTGCGCAACCAACAACATTTAAGTCAAGAATAAATTTTAACTTTTAAGCATATTAAAACAAACAGGGCATTTGGTCTAGTGGTATGATTCTCGCTTTGGGTGCGAGAGGTCCCGAGTTCGATTCTCGGAATGCCCCATCCATGCTTTTACATCATTTCCATTGATGAACTTTCCAGCTCCTTTCTTTTATTCCTGAGATCTGTTGTTGATGTGCATACAACACAAGACTAGATCTGTAATTTATTAAGTCAAACTAAAACTTTGTCTTTAAAAAAGTAATGACTAAAAAACTAAAATTCTGTATTCATTAACTTCTCTTTCGTAATTTTCATTTCAACCAGAAACCAAGATAATTGTACCACAAATCCAAAATCAAGAAGGTATCACCTCAATTACAATAAAGAATTAAAATGAATTATGTATATTCAAGAAGAACATTTGGCGTAGTGATATTCCTTTGAGGTCTCAAGTTTGATTCTAAAATAAAAGCAAACAACCTAAATAAAAGAATGGGAGTATATATGGATACCGAATATGAAGTATGAATGCTTGAGCACCTAAATGCAGCAACCAAGATCCCCACTAGCAAATTCTTCTATATTCTGTCCTCATGTAATGTAAACATTATAACTTGAACAAGAAAATTTGATCATGAGTTCCGAAAAGACGAGAGGATGAGTCATTAATCAAGGAAAGTACCTAAGTATCCTACTATCTTATTTCATCAATCATTTAAAGGACATTTGACCATCATTCTACCCATAAGCTTACCAACCACCACTGAAAAAGCAGCTCTATCAACTACAAATTTTTAATTTTTACTATAGATTCAACATCAAGTTCATTACAATAAAAATTATTTAAATGAATTCTATTCATCATAACAATGTATTTAATTTAATTGTGTGATTCTCGCTTTGGATTTGTGAGGTTCCTAGTTTGATGCTTGGAATGCCCCAAATAATTTTTACTATTTTAAACAGTGAACTTCCAAATTCCATTCAATTGTTCATAAGATCTTCCTACTTTATTGGTATTCCTCAATAATGACTGTCTACTAGACAATGAGATAAACACTACAACTATTATTCTACCTCTTAACTTGCTAACCATTATTGAAAATGTAAATTCACCGACTACACATTAATCAAAGAGGGCATTTGGTCTAGTGGTATGATTCTCGCTTTGGGTGCGAGGGGTCCCGAGTTCGATTCTCGGAATGCCCCATTCATCTTTTTTTTTTCTAAATCATTTTTCATAAGGGAACTTACCAATTTTTTTTTCTATTATTCATGAGATGTTTATATTTTACCGTTCATATGAAGAATGTAGACATGCAACCTAAATAAAAGACTAAGAAAATTTTTACATATAAATGAGATACCAAATGATGGAGGATGAATGCTTGAATAGGCAGCCAATAGTGCTAGGATCCCCACTCGAAAGCATATCAATCATGTAAACCTGTAAAATTATTTGATAATGTTTCAATAATTGAAAAAAAAAAAATAGTTGTAGTGGTAAACTCTTAATTTGGTATGGAAGGTTCTGAGTTCAATTCTCAGAATGCCTCATGTGGCATGTGCTCATGACTTTCCTTTCACAAAATTTCATTTCAACCAAAAACCAAGTCAATTGTACCATAAATCCAAAAATCAAGAAGGTATCATCTGAATTACAATAAAGAACAAGAAATTGAATTATATATATTCAGGCAGAACATTTGGCCTAGTTTCAGGTCCCATGTTTGATTCTTAGAATGATCCAATTTACTTTTACATCCATTCAATTATCCATAAGATTTTTATATTTTATTATTCAAGAGAAGAGTATAAAACAACCTAAATAAAAGATTAGGAGTGTATATGGATACCAGATATGAAGGATGGATGCTTGAACACCTGAATGCAGCCAGCCAAGATCACCACTAGGAAACTCTTCTATATTCACTGTCATAATGTATATAGGACAAGAAAATTTGATCATGAGTTTCAAAGAAACGAGAGCAGGATAATTCATAAATCAAGGGAAGTAACCCAGTATTCTATCTTATTTCATCAACCCTTCAAAAACAACTGAGTACATCAAATAATTGATGTTTATACCATACGAACATTAGATCTACATCTTCTAGTAGAAGGTTATGAGTTCATTTTTTCAATGCCTCAGCCCCATTTGGCCTGTGTTCATCGACTTTCTATTCATAATTTTCATTTCAACAAGAAACATCTTTCTCACAGTATTTTCAACATTTTTGTGGAATAAGGGTATGGAAATATGTTTATATATTTATTTCTAACTCAATTCTGTTTGGTTCAGACAATGAAATGTGGCATAAGTCGACTATCATTCTAACTATAAGCTTACCAACCACCACGAAAAAGCAACTCTACCAACAACACATTAGTCAATTTTACCATGGATCTAACATCAAGAAGATAAATCTTAATCATATATATATATATATATATATATGATGAATTCCATTCATTGAAACAGTGCATTTGGTCTAGATGTATGATTCTTGGAATGCCCCAAACAATCTTTAATATTTAAAACTGTGAGCTTCCAAATTCCCTTCAATTATTCATAAGATCTTCATATTTCATTGTTTAAGAGAGGAATGAAAGTAAACAACCTAATAAAATGACTAGGAGTGTATATGCACTGATACCATCAACTGGAAAGCTCATCTAGCATGTAAGAACTTCATAATTCTAATAAATAAAAATTGATCATGATTTCAGAGAGAGAGCACCAAATAATTCATAAATCAAAAGAAAAAACCTAAATATCCTATCTCATGAACATTGTCATTGATGCGTACACAACAAAAAGATCAAATATACATCTTAATGTGTCTTAATTAAAAATTAAAATCTTGTTTTTGATAAAGGCTAACAATTGGGCATTTGATCTAGTGGTAGATTCTCAATGGTATTAGAGGTTCTGAGTTCAGTTCAATTCTTAGAATGCCGCAGGTGACATGAGCCCATTGACTTTCTATTCATAATTTTCAGATAAACCATAAAATTATTTCTTGCTTTTTGTTGCACAATATTTTCAAAAGTTATTCATATATTTATTTTTTATTCCTAAAAAATGACGGGCTACTAGGCAATGAAATAAACTCTACAGGCCACCGTTATTTTATCTCTAAATCTGCCAACCACCGTCGAGAAGAATCAGCTCGGCCAATTACACATTGGTCAACTACATGGACCCAACATCAAGAAGACATTTCTAGATAAAATATATTAAATGTATTCAATTTCCAAAAAGGGCATTTGGTCTAGTGGTATGATTCTCGCTTTGGGTGCGAGAGGTCCCGAGTTCGATTCTCGGAATGCCCCATTCATTTTTGTTTTTTTGTTTTTTTAATTTTCATAATTGAACTTACTAATTTCTTTCTATTATTCGTGAGATCCTTAAATTTTACAGTTCATATGAAGAATGTAAGCAAGCAACCTAAATAAAAGACTACGAATTTTCATATAAACGAGATACCAAATGGAGGATGAGTGATTGAATAAGCAGCCAGCTGTGCCAGGATCCCACCTGAAAGTATATCTATCATGTATACCAACATGTTTCAACTAAAAATATTTGATAATGTTTCATAGAGACAAGCACAAGATAATTCATAAATCAAGGGAGATAACTATGTATCCTCATTTTGTCAACCATTCAAAGAAACTTTGCTAAATACACCATGTTTGTGTCTATAACACAAGACAGGAGTTATAATTTAAAGTCTATAACTAAAATTTTGTTTTTTCAAAAGACATTCTTGATTAAAAAATTGAAAATCCGTATTTGATAAAGGGGGAAAAAAAGACAGTATGGAAGGTTTTGAGTTTAGTTCTTAGAACGCCTCATCTGGCATGTGCTCATTGACTTTTCTTTCATAATTTTCATATCAACCAAAAACCAAGTAAGTGGTACCATGGATCCAAATCAAGAAGGTATCATCTACATTACAATAAAGAATAATAAAATAACTATGTATATACAAGCCCGACATTTGGTTTAGTGGTATGATTCTTGCTTTGTGTGAGAGAGGTCCCAATTTTGATTCCTATAATGACCCAAATTACTTTTACCGTTTTTAAATTAGAACTACCAAATTCCGTTCAATTATCCATGAGATCTTTATTTACTCTTCAAGAGAGGAATATACGCAAACAACCTAAATAAAAGATTAGGTGTATATGAATACCAGATATGAAGGATGGATGCTTGAAGCCTGATGCAGCTAGCCAGGATCCACACCAGGAAGCTCTCCTACATTCTGTCATCATATCAAGGGAGGTAACCAAGCATTCTATCTTAATACATCAACCATTCAAAAGTAAAGTAACTTTGCCGAGTACACCAAATAATTGATGTTTATACAGCATGGGGATTAGATCTACATCATCCTATCTTCTAATTAAGAATTGAAATATTGTGCTTGATATATGCAAAAATAGGGCATTTGATCGAGCAATATATTCTTGTTTTGGTAATTACCATATTACAAACGAAAGGCTCTAGTTGTTAATACAATAATTGTTTGAAACACATAGTTCCTTGGTCTCTAATGATATAACTCTTGCTAAAGGGGATAGAGAATCTGAGTTCAATACTTGAAATAGAAGAAGGCCTTGACGTCGTTAGACTGAAGGCTCTGATATCATATTGAGTTAAACAGACTTAACCTCAATTAGGGAGAAATAAGAGAAATGATAATAACAGAGAAGAGTATAATCAGTGAGCTCTCTTTAACAACTTTCTAAGTGAAAATATTCTGTAAAATCACATAGCAAAGGTTCAGTAAGCAATCGCTCGTTTTAGTTAGTGTAGTATCACTCTTAATCTACACACACACACACAACTTCATTAAATCGTTCGTTCTTCGACATTTCGTTCATCCTACAGCCACAAAACGAAACTACCGGATACAGCAATTAGCAAGTAACCTGATCATCAACTAATTTGAATAGAAGCCAAATTTCTACAATCAAAAACATAGAACGATATACGTCACAGACTGCCACACTCTTCCCGACGGTGAATTCAATCAATAGGACAAGTGAAGATCAAGCGTAGTAAAAAGAAAGCAACTAAACATAATCGACATAAACGCAGAGAGCTTAAGTAACTTCACCTGGTCATTTTGATCAGCAACCTTCACACATAACTGATAGTTCTTCCTGTCTGCTAGCTTGAAGCTTGCATGCGTTTCTTCTGAAAGAAATACAGCGCGCTTCACCTTCTCTGAGCTTATATTGACAAATGTTTTCCTGCATTTTCTCGACAACCAAACAACCCCGGGAAAATTGTGGCGAACGGAGCAGAGCTGTTAATAAGTAAAGAGCCACTGTGATTCTGGTGCTATTTCGTGGGCTTGATAATAATATCTCAGGCCCAATTTTGTGGCCCACTATTGATTCGGCCCATTTAGGCCCAGCTTTTGAGTGGGTGGAAAAATTATAACTTTAATTATCTATTACGTAAATATAGCTAAAAAGGAAATAAAATGTCCTAAAACTGAAAATAAATTAATAAAATACCAAAAATTTGAATTCTATGACTTAAACCTATGATTATTATTATTTATTGTATAAAAAATTTAAATTAGGTAATTTTGAAAATTGACATATATGTATAGATAACGTTTGGTGGCTTATCTTGACAACACTTTTAATACGACCCACTTTGCTATTGTTACAAATTATTTGATTCAAATCGTTCATGTGCAGATATGTGAGCAATGATATCCACTACACTGAGTTTGTATAAGAGTATTTTACAAAATATTTAATTAATCTTTATAAATTTGTTTATTGAAAAAATTAATATTTTATAAAATGATTATATGCTATGCGGTTTCAATCTTGAATGAATTATAAGCTTACGTCTCTCTAAAGGTTTGTTCTTTGATTTGCTTGAGTGAGAATGAATTTTGCAGCTGATTCAATATATTTATCATTTTGGAAACTTAATCCAAATATAGAACTGATAATATAATCTCACGAGATGGAGCGATGGATGACCTCTTAGGAATATTACCGGAAAGTATGTGAGTGAAGACAAAACATGCTTAAAGGACTCATGTTGATCTGTGATGATAGTTTTCACTATTTAGAAACAATTCAAGACTGTAAGTAACATGATCATGTTGCAGGAGATGTTGAAAGAATGTTGAGGCAATTCGGTGCAAAATCTGTATTCTAAATTCTGGTCAGAATCCTCAACATGAGACATAGGGGATGCATGACATGTGCTCTTGAGAGGCCAACTATAGGGTCAACCTCGGTCTCATGTCGTGGTCGAGGGTAGAATTTTAGCTTCAACACAAAATCTTTTATTCTTGTTTGCCTCGTGACCCAGTTGTTCTATATAGACCTAAATTTTGTCCCGCATTTGAATTTTTCCTCTTAGTTTTGTCTCTGATTGCTCGTGTAACCTGAGTTTGTTCTCTTAATCTAATTTTACCGATAACAACACAAAACAATATAAACATGAAAAAATAATTACTTATTAACGAAATAATTAATATTAGATAACACTTAGTATATCTTGTTTTAAAAATAGACACTGATTTAGCTTACTTTGCATTTGGGTTACCTTATTTCTAACAAAAATCAGCAATATGTTGTTTATTATTGGTTCAATTATCAGGGAGCTGGACGTTGAAGGTCTGACAAGCGGCATCTTCCAACACTTTAATGCTAACAGAAGCGGCGGATTTGGTTACAGGGTGTTGCACTGTTACATTGTAATCTCCATGGAACAACAAAGCTTCAACCAAACCTTCACCGTCGGCTGTCATTTCCAAACAGGGCGATTTCCATTCAGCCAGAAGCTTATCGACAACGTCTCCTGCTGGGGTGTTCTTGAAATTCAGATCCACAAGCGGCAAGGTAATGAAATTCGCCGATAATGGGCCTCCGAATGTGATTATCCCCTTCACGGCAGGATGTGCGTATCCTTCTCTTAAAACTTCTTCATAGAATTGTGCCTGTTAGGGGAAGATACCAAGTTTTGTTAGTTATGTCTAGAAGGTGTTTGATGAAATGGCTGAATGAAATTGCATTGTACCTGATTTGGGACTTTTTGATAATACACTTCTGTGATCCATATGGGGTAGCCTGTTGATCCTAGAAAGTCCAATGCGGATCTCATGTATGGTAGGTTTGGCAGATCAGGGCCGAAGTTGCCCTGCAAGCCGATTCCTGCTGGAATATTTTCGTTCCCGGGATACGATAGGATTTGGAAGAGTCTGTTTCTGTAGTTAGCTGGGGTTGATTTCTTTTCGTAATCATGTTCCATGGTATTGAATTCGTTGAGGAAAAGAAGCGGTTTCTTATCTAGTTTATGTGCTATCTTGAAGTACATTGCAGAGGCATTTTCACCAAGTTTGTCCTCGAAGAATCTGTGGTGCACGTTTTCGTTCATGACATCCCAGTGAATAAACTTTCCGGAGTATCTCTTAAGCACGGACTTGATTCTTCTATTGGCTGCTTTCATCAAATCTTTAGGGCTGAGTGACTTGACCCATTCTGGCTGATAAATGGGATCGGCCCAGAAAATGTTGTGTCCTCTGACTTTAATACCATTACGACGGGCAAACTTAAGCATTGCATCAGGGATGGTATAGTTTTCTTGGCCTTGTACTTTCTCATTGCTATACCACTTAAGTTCATTGGTGAAAGTGGCATAATCAAATCTTGATGCAAACCATTGTTGGTATCTTTTGCTGGAAAGGATATGGCTGTTCATTCCTGCCCCAAATGGGAAGTTTCTTTTTTTCTGGTCGAGGAAGACTTTTGCACCTGCTAGTGTACAGTTGTCTGGTTGAGTTATTTGCAGCCTCACCTTGCTTTTCCTCACCTGCAAAACTTGGTTCCATCATTCCATGTTGTAAGTGTTATTAGCGGGACCGAAGTCCCATCTTGGTTAGAGAGGAGGACGAGGGAGCACGGCGAGGGAGAAAGAAGTTGTCTCTCTTCTATGGTAACTCGTTGCCAATCATCTAGAATGATCTGCCTCTAGGTTGATTGATCAACTTTCGCTCAGGTAGAGGTCTCCACATCCTATCACTCCTATCGCCGTGAACCTCACAATTTTAAAATGCGTCTGCTAAGGAGAGGTCTTCACACCCTTATAAGGAATGTTTCGTTCCCCTCTTCAATTGACATGAGATCTCACAATCCATCCCCTTGGGGTCAGTGTTCTCGCTGGCATATTGTTTAGCCTCACAGTTTTAAAACGCGTCTGCTAGGGAGAGGTCTCCACACCCTTATAAGGAATGTTTCGTTCCCCTCTTCAACCGATATGGGATCTCACAATCCACCCCTAGCGTCCTTACTGGCACGTCGCTCAACCTCACGGTTTTAAAACATGTCTACTACTAAGAGGTTTCCACGCCCTTATAAGGAATGTTTCGTTCCCCTCTACAACTGACATGCGATCTCACAATCCATCCCCCTAAGGGTCAGTGTCCTCGCTGGCATATTGTTTAGCCTCACAATTTTAAAACGCGTCTGTTAGGGAGAGGTCTCCACACCCTTATAAGGAATGTTTCGTTCCCCTCTCCAACTGACATGATATCTCACAATCCATCCCCTAAGGGTCAGTATCCTCGCTGGCATATTGTTTAGCCTCACAGTTTTAAAACGCGTCTGCTAGGGAGAGGTCTCTACACTCTAATAAGGAATGTTTCGTTCCTTTCTTCAATCGATATTGGATCTTACAATCCACCCCCTAGGGGCTAGCATCCTTACTGGCACATAAATCAGCCTCACGGTTTTAAAATATGTCTACTACTAAGAGGTTTCCACACCCTTGTAAAGAATGTTTCGTCCCCCTCTCCAACCGATCTGAGATCTCACAACTAGTGAAACTTTTGCATTGAATTAAATGTTTCTTTATACTACCTTATTAATACTTTCTTCTTGGTGGGATCGCCATTGTTCCTTTGTAAATGGTTGCAGTGAGACATTATCAATCCAAATATCTGCTGTCGTATTTGTACTCTGTATAAACATATGAACATATAGTACATTGCTGTGAAATAACCTTTTGAATAGAGGCCAACCATATGTTCTCAACTAAATCAAACCAAGTTGGTTAGACCAAAACTTATTTACCTCAAAAAAAAGCTCAGCCTGGCCTGTAAAATTAGAGACAAAGCCACCTTTGATCAAACTCCAGCAGCCCTGCTGGGCTATGGTTTCACCACCATTACGAACCTCACCCCATTCACTATTTCTGTATAGAACAGCCACAGGTGCGTTCCCTTCACTTAGTCGAACCCAAGCTAGAGATTTTCGAGAATTTAGTGAACTGAAGGTACATTCAACGAGTGTAGATCTGAAAAACACGAGGAATAACGAAAGAAAGATCAACACATACCAGAGAAACTATAGAGCTTTTCATATTGGAGATGAACCAACTGATAGAGACTATCCCTTGGTTGAGTCCTCTTGTGAGCTACAATGAAGGTATTGGTGTCGTTGCCTTGTTTCAACCACCCTAGCTTTATTTCTCCTCCTCCATATACTTTCCATCCTTCAGTTCCATTGTTGAACTCTGGATTCACTATGATCCCTCCTCCATGATGAACCCTCCATGGCTTAGCTAGACACTGTTCATATGATATTTCTCATCATTTCGAAAAAAAATATATGTTAATTGTATACGTAGGTTAGCACGTTTTGTTCATATTTAGCAGAAAAAAAACTCGTTTTCTCATCGACCAACTCCTACAAAAGGTTTTGTAAATCTTAAGCTACACTTACTTCAGTTGTGGCAGAATAGTCATAAGAGACACCTTGGATGGTTATGAACTTTCCTGAATTGTTCAGAAAATTAATTTTGTTAACTCAAATTGATGAAAAAACGAACTTGTTAGTGTTATATTACACAATAAAGAGGAAAAAACCTGAAAATATCAAAATGAAGGGAAGAAAAAAGAGGGTGAGAGCTCTGAAAATATTCATCTCTTTGAGAAATGAACTGAAGAACAAAAGTTGGGTATGAGAAGAAATGTTTGTTTTGGTCACTCTAATGAAAAATCCCCCTTGATATTGATCATATAACCTTGTATTTTGTTAAATAATTTATGGAGATTTGATTCGTTGCCTTTTTTAGAAATAGTGTATTTTCTTTGTTAAGCATCGTTTCTTAAATTGTATTGTTCTTATCTACTTACATCGTTATTTACAGTACTGATTAATTGTAGTTATTGATTCACAAATTTGAATATAACGTATGTACTTGACTTGTATATGCTTAACCGACACCATTTGTTCGATGAAAAAAGAGCTTATTTTCGTATTAGTGTGATGTTTGTTCCCATTCTTTTAATAGTTAGACTGAGAGAGGATCAAATTGACCTTTTGGATTATTACGGGTCAGAGAGGGACATCTAACCATGCTTGAGTTCAAGAGTTAGTTCATATAACTCGCAAGGATGGGATCGTAGAGATCCACCCCAAACGAGGTAGGGAATGGTGGAAGAAGTAGTGAGAAACTTTCCCAATTAGCTAAACGGGTTTGGGGACAGAGATTACATTTCCCATTTGCCCCCAATCTCGATACACATTACTATATTATTTTTTTGTGAAATATTTTTAAAATTTTTTAAGATATTTTTCTTTTTTAATAGAATTATATTGAAAAATAAAAATATTTAGTAAAAAATTACTTGAAATAGAATATATATATATATATATATATATATCTATATTTTTTTTTTTCGTCCCATAAATTTTTTCATTTATTTTTATAGAACCAAGAGGAGATTCTCCGGGTGGAATTTTGCGAGGATAAGAAAAACTTCTTTGCCCTCGTCCCATCCATCGACATCTCTACTTATGTTTGGAGTGATGTGATTGGCCAAAATTTTCGTTTATTAAAGGTCCAAATGGCCTTATGCGTAGTCTAGTTAGCAAGAGCTAGTTCGGCCTCAACCAAGCTCGACTCAAGCCAATTTTTCCTTAGGCCTATTTCTACTTTAAGTCTCCATGCTTATGTCGATCCTTTCATCTCGAGATAGTTAGATGATTCAAATCTACTCGTAAAGGTGACAATTTATGATATATTATGAAATATATACTTTTGAATAATTAGTCATGCATCCCTTTCTTAATTTTGATGGAGCACCCATGTAAGGTAAAAAGGAATTATTTATATTTATATTTAAAGTAATTATTTTATGATAATCGGTATTTTGTTATTTAAAATTCTATCTGTTAATTAACTTTAATTACATATATATTTCCAACTTTGTCCTTAAATGAATATTGCAATTAATAAATAATAATAACGTGATTAAAAAGTAAATAAATATGCATTGACGATTCACAATTAACCCTTGGCATATTTGTATTAATTATATTTTAACAAAAATAAATAAATAAATAAATAAAAATTAATTTATTATTTTGTTTATTAAAATAAGGAGTGTTCAAAAAAATTTCGATGATCCGAAAAATCCAATCAATACAACCCAATTCATATGGTTTGGATTTAAATAAACTAAAACTTAGGTGGTTTATTTGTTCATGAATTTCATAAAATAAAATTGATGTAAATATATATTTATTTTAATTATTTTTTATTATTTATTCTCTATAAATTTTTAAAAATAGTTTTTAACTATTTAAAATATATTAACTTTTAATTTTTTTTATTAATATATAGACGAAAATAGACATGTGTATTTTTATTAGTTAAATTATTATTTAACTACAATTGGTTCAATTATGGCTGAGTTGGACATTGAAGGTCTGATAAGCGGCATCTTCAGACACTCTAATGCTAACAGAAGTGGCGGATTTGGTTCCAGGGTGCTGCACTGTTACATTGTAATCTCCATGGAACAACAAAGCTTCAACAAAACCTTCACCATCGGCTGTAATTTCCAAGCTGGGCGATTTCCATTCAGCAAGAAGCTTATCGACAACGTCTCCTGCTGGGGTGTTCTTGAAATTCAGATCCACAAGCGGCAGGGTAGTGAAATTCGCCGATAATGGGCCTGCAAATGTGATTATCCCCTTCACTGCAGGATGTGCGTATCCTTCTCTTAGAACGTCCTCATAGTATTGTGCCTGTTAGGGGAAGATACCAAGTTTTGTTAGTTATGTCTGGAAGGTGTTTGATGAAATGCTTGAAAGAAATTGCTTTGTACCTGATTTGGAGTTTTGTAATAAAACACTTCTGTGATCCATATGGGGTAGCCTGTTGATCCTAGATAGTCCAATGCGGATCTCATGTATGGTAGGTTTGGCGGATCAGGGCCGAAGTTGCCCTGCAAGCCGATTCCTGCTGGAATATTTTCGTTCCCGGGATATGATAGGATTTGGAAGAGTTTCTTTCTTACGTTAGCTGGGCTTGCTGTCGTTTCACTAGCATGTTCCATGGTATTGTATTCATTCACGAAAAGAAGTGTCTTACTGTCAAGTTTATGTGCTGTGTTGAAGTACTCTGCTGAGGCATTTTCACCGAGTTTGTCCTCAAAGTATCTGAAGTGTACATTTTCATTCATGACGTCCCAATGGATAAACTTTCCAGAATATCTCTTAACCACGGAGTTGATTCTTTTTTCTGCTGCTATCTTCAAATCTGCAGGGGAGAGTGACTTGACCCATTGTGGCTGAAACTTGGGATTGTCCCAGAAAATGTTGTGTCCTCTTACTGAAATACCATGTTGATTGGAAAACTCAAGCATCGCATCAGGGATGGTGTAGTTCTCTTTGCCTGGTTCTATCTCAGTGCTGTACCACTTAAGTTCATTTGTAAAAGTGGCATAAGAAAATCTTGATGCAAACCAATCTTGGTATTCTTTGCTGGAGAGAATGTGGTGGTTCATTCCTGCCCCAAATGGGAAGTTTGGTTTTTTCTGGTCGAGGAAGACTTTTGCACCTGCTAGTTTACTGTTGTCTGCTTGAGTTATTTGCAGCCTCACCTTGCTTTTCCTCACCTGCAAAACGCGTTTCCATCATTCCGTGTACGTGTTAATTCTGGGACTGAAGTCCCACCTTGGCTAGAGGTGATAACTCATGAAGATCTCTATGGTGGTTTATTGAGAAGATTATGAAGGGTGTGACTAAGATCTTACATTGGCTAAGTAGGAAGAAGATCAAGAGTTTGTAAGGTCAGCATTTCCAGACTCTTGCATCAATCTTAAAAGTAAATTCGTCTGATTTTAAGTTCAAAGTAGATGATATCATACTAATGAAGAGCCGATCGTCCCAACAATATGGAGGCACATTCAAAGGTTATACCAGTTTCTTTCTTTCTTTATATTACCTCGTTAATGCTACTGTCTTGGTGGGATCGCCATTGCTCCTTTGTAAATGGTTGCAGTGAGACATTATCGAGCCAAATTTCTGCTGATGTATTTTCACTCTGTATAAACAAAAGCAAAACAAGTTATAGGCATTTAGTACATTGAATTCTGAATGGAGCATGAATTTGAAAAAGATTTGCTTGAATGTTGCAGCATACTCTAGTGGCCAACCACGTACTCTACTAAATCAAGCCAAGTTGGTGAAAGCAAAAGTTATTCACCTCAAAAAAGACCTCCGCATGGTCTGTGAAATCAGAGACAATGCCACCTTTGAGCAAACTCCAGCAGCCCTGTTTGGCTATGGTTTCACCACCATGAAGAATCTGACCATCTTTACTGTTTCTGAATAGAACAGCCACAGGTGCGCTTCCTTCACTTAGTCGAACCCAAGCTGTTTATTTTATAGCATGTTTCTGATTAGACGGTGTATGATTTAAGAGCATTAAATTTTATATTCAGAAATTGCACATAGATCTAAAAGCTTAAGCTGATAAATTACATGTAGATCAATAACTAGCTGTAATAAAGAACACGAGAGAAGGAAAGAAAGTTCGACCCATACCAGAGAAACTATAGAGCTTTCCATGTTGGAGATGAACCAACTGATAGAGACTATCCCTTGGGTGAGCCCTCTTGTGAGCTACAATGAAGTTATTGATGTGGTTGTCTTGTTTCAAAGACCCTTGCTTTATTTCGCCTCCTCCAAACACTTTCCACCCTTCAATTCCATTGTTGAACTCTGGATTCAATATGATCCCTCCTCCATTACGAACTCCTCTTGGCTTCACCAGACACTGTTTTAATAGATATTTCTCAACTTTAGCAAAAAAAAAAAATGTATCATTATCATTATATACTTATGTTAGCAAATTTTGTTCATATTTGTAACCATAAAATCGCCACAGAACGTTTAATTATAGAATTCAAAAGCGAAACCAACTTCAAATTCTAGGATCTTGAGTTACACTTACCTCAGTTGTTGCATAATAATCATAGGAAAAACTTTGGATGGCTATGAACTTTCCTGAATTGCTCACAAAACCAATTTTGTTAACTCAAATTAATGATAAAAGAAAATCTTATGTAACAATAAAGAGGGAAAAAAAACCTGAAAATATCAAAATGAAGGGAAGAAAAAAGAGGCTGAGAGCTCTGGAAATGTTCATCACTTTGAGATGACAAATGAAGAACAAAGTTGCCTTTGAAAGCAATGTTTGTTTTGGTGACTGTACTAACAAATTCCTCATATTATATATTAAATTCAATATTTGGATTTATTATTATCTTATGGAAATATTTGACTTTTTAGAATTTTTGGTATCTTTCTTTGCTCAGATTTTTCTAAATTATGTTTGGTTAACCATTTTAAGTTTCTTCAGATGAATTACATTATCATCCTTTTACATTGTTGTTTGTATGATTGTTAGAGTGTGGTAATTTCTAATAAACTTTGATACTCATTAAGGAAAAATCTTGTGTTATATGATTTTGGTGTAGTAGATTTTATAGGAATGATGAAAAAAAATACATTTTTTAAGAGTTCTCAATTTTATGAAAATATTGATAGAAACGTTGATGATTCAGTTGAGAATTTTATTCCATGTAGTCCACGTTGTGCATAGGAGAAGTTTTTATTGCCAACTTGAGATAGCTCATCTTTTGCTGATTCAAATACAATGTTTTATATTTGTTGTACCAAAAAAAAAAAAAAAAAAATTACAAAAACATATCATTATTTGTAATATAATTTGAACATTATTGTAAATAAAATGTTTTTGTGTTTCTAATTAATCTTAATTAAATTACATATTTAGTCAATTTGTCACATGAACATTCAATTGTTTGTTAGTATACAGGATTTGTTTATCTAAAAATACATGTTTTTTTAAAAATTCATTTGCCATTTAGATTAAAAAGTCATTTTAGAAATGTTATTTTAAGCCGCACTTCAATATTTTTCGTATTACTTTTTTTTAAATAAAGTATGAGTCAAATATTTTCAATATAGAGATTGGAGGTTTAAATTTCTTCACTCTTGAATGTCGTTGTTGAACTCTATACAAAATTAGTCTTAGTTCTATTATAGAAATAAAATTATCGCTTCAAGTGCTTACGTACCCAAACAATCGTTAACTCCCCCTTCCATATGATCGACGCATAATCCCACTTATCTCGAGGATCAAATAATTAGGTTCAAAGATGGAGAAGGTGCAATCAAAGAAGCATAGAGGAGAATCACATGCATTAGCATTGATGTGTGGAGAGATGGGTGACTTCCAACTAAGGGCACTATCCCATTCCAATCTCTTAACACAATACTCATTTTGGTTGGAAAAGTGGTACAACATTGAGAGTGAGTGAGTGGTGATGGCAATCACTCCACTTACAAGTTTATATTAGGCATGACCTATCTTTATAGGTTCGATATCCTTAATATCTGTTATCAGTCGAAGTGCGCACAAACTGACCCGTGCACTCATCGTATACTCATTTGTATAGAACATTCAACCACGTTTCAAACAACTCCACATCACACAAACCAAAGAGAAAAAATAGCAAAATAGCAAAATGAATTGATCTATCATCACATACAACCTTTTTCAGACAACGTTCTATGTCAAACCTTCATTCCTATCTGTATTCAGAGAAAGAAGAGGTCAAAGGAGTAGCAAATTAGACGTAACAAGACAAGAAGCAAAGCCAAAACTTTAGTTAAAGTGGATTTGACTCTAAAACAGAGTGAAAATTTGAACCAAAACTTCAGTTGTTAAGGCCCCTTATTCATTGTGTTCAGAGTTAAGCCTTCAGGAAGCCCTTCTGCTCAAGGTAACTCATCACTTTATCTGCCATGTCGCATGGGGAACCTCCATTGTGTTTCAGTACAATCTGAAACCCAACAAGTTCATTAGTACATCAACTTTCAGGTTTGTATCTAAATTTTCAAATATCTAAAAGGTTCTTAAGATTTCTAAAAACTTCTAATTCCGTGTCTAATAGAATCTTAAACTTCCAACTTAGTTAACAATGAATTCTAAAGAATGTTGAGTAAGTTTTGATCTACCAAACAATCAGATATCCATTAGTTGCAAAGTTGAAAGTTCAGCGATTAATTATGAACTTTTTGAAGATCCGGGGCCTATAAGAACTAAACTTAAAGATCAGTACTAAACTTGTAATAACTTAACCCGAGAATCATTCGCCAAGTAGTAGAAGCATTTATCTTTTGCAAGTTGTTCTAAACTGTTCCATTTTCCACTAGAAAGTGTAATTACCTCACAATTCAATGGTACTTCATATGGATCATCAATACCGGTAAAGCCTGCAAACATATGAGATTTTGTTTCAGTCAATGGATGAACTATGATAATTCTGAGCATATTTAAGCCTATTTGACATCAATTAACTCTAAGTAAGATGATAACAAATCGCAGTAACCTTTGATCTTTCCCGCCCGTGCAAGCTTATACAGTCCCTTTGTATCTCTTGCTTCACAAATTTCAAGAGGAACATCCATGAACACCTGTATATTTTTAGTACATTTTTGTCATATATGTTTCCGAGTCCGGGTAGAATAGAAGTCCACTCAAAATCGATGATATGCATAAATTTAGAAATACCTCAATAAAATATCCATCAGGTAAAATGGCACGACAGGCATCTCGATCCCTTCGATATGGAGATATCAAACTAGCAATACAAATAACTCCAGCATCTGCGAACAGTTTCGCAACCTCACCTAGTTTATGGAAGAGGTATAATTAGGAATCATGAACAGCCCAATCCAAAGTGTTGTAAATGAACAGAACTTCCCGAGCAGGACTTACCAACCCTCCTTATGTTCTCTGCACGATCTTCGGCTTTAAAGCCAAGGTCACGATTCAAGCCATGCCTAACATTATCCCCATCAAGAATATAAGCCAACTTTCCCATTTTGTATAAGCTTTTAGTCAAGGCACAAGCCACAGAGCTCTTCCCTGCAAGTTAGCTAAAATTGGGTCAGGTTGAAAAAGTCTCACACCCAATTTATATATTTCAAGCCAACATTTTTTACTATCTATTTCACTAAATCTTTTCAAACATAACCTGAAAAATCAAAATCAATCGGACTCATATATTTCATGGTGGGTTTTCGTCTATTATCTAGAAGGAACAACGATAATTTTGGTGAGATGTGAGATCCCACATCAGTTGGAGAGAGAAACGAAACATTCCTTACAAGGGCGTAGAAACCTCTCCCTAGCATACACGTTTTAAAACCGTGAGGCTGACGACTATACGTAATGAGCTAAATCAAACAATATCTGTTAGCGGTGGGCTTAGGCTATTACAAATGATATCAGAGCCAGACACCAGACGGTGTGCCAGTGAGGACGCTGACCCCAAAGGAGGTGGATTATGAGATCCCACATCGGTTGAAGAGGGAAACGAATCATTCCTTATAAGGGCATGGAAACCTCTCCCTAGTAGACGCATTTTAAAACCATGAGCGGACAATATCTATTAGCGGTGGGCTTGGGTTGTTACATCAGAACAAACGTACAACCCAAAAAATCTATCAGAGAACAAACCCAGCCAAATCGATGGATACCCAAAACTCCAAGACTAATCTCATTTGAAGACAATCTAAACTATAGGTTATCAAAAACATGATTAATAGATAGTAATAACTAAGGTGTAAAAGCAGAAGGAAAAGGTTACACAAACCTGAGCCACTGAGCCCTGTGATCCATATGACACATCCTTTCTGGTTAAGAAGGCTCTGTCTTTCAACATTTCCAATTGAACATTCATGCCACTTGATATTGGTAGAATTTCCTACTGTCGACAACACTCCAGCATTTTTCCCTGATTGAAAAGCATCTTAGTAATCTTGACAGCTTAAACTAAAGACAAGAAACTCACACAAACAAGAACATCATCAGACACCACCACTATATGAGCTTGTATCCACATAGAAACAATTCAAACATTCTGCAACTAAATCAGCGTTTCAATAATTCAAAGAGTTCGACATCATTTTGTATAGAAAATGTATAGCTAACATCGATGTAAATACAAACATAAGGTTCTTGCTATTCCAATGAATCAAGCAAGACAGCCATAACACCAGAAACATCAATGAGATGATTCAGAAAACAAGACAAATATTCTGATTCAACCAAAATCAAGTCCCTGAATCAAGATTATACCGACAACAGACATCAAAATTGAAGCAATACCAGAGTTCCCAGCATGTCCATTGCCCAAGGTAGCATCTAAATCAATCTCGCATTCACTCTTACCCAAACCATCGACCTTCCCATTAACAATCACCGCCCTCGAACCCTTTTTCTCAGCCCAATCACAAACAACCACCGTTGATTTGAAGCTAATCCCATTGGAAAACCTTGCAAACCCAAACGCCGATGGCGGCGAGAATGATTTGTGGCGGAGCGGCGGCGGCACACATCCCGGAAACGAAATTCCCCCAGTCGAAACCATATCTCACATGCATTTCAAAACGGAAACACCATAGACTCAAAAATAAATAGAAAAGGGTAAAAACAAATCGATTAAGGAAATCAAGGGCAAATGGGATGCCATAATTGGTCGAATGGCGGAGAGGCTCTCCTGTTCTTGTCCGCCATAATAATTAATGACCGGTGGAAAAAAAATTCACGACCCCTTTTGGCGTCAACCCTCGTTTTGAACCTTTGATTTTTATTCTTCTTCTTCTTCTTCCCTGAAATTTATGAACTGTACAAGAAATATACGGAACCAGAGCCGAAGCCGCGGAGCGTGCGAAACGGCGAGCCGTCCGGAGAGGAAGAAAAAAGAGCGACGTCGTTTAGGGTCCCGCGAAAAACAACTGGTGCAATAACGCAATAAATATGTGAAAGCTGTCGCTGAATGCACCCGACACGACGGTGGAATTTATTATTAATTTTTTTTATGTCGATGAAAATTTAAAATTATTAAATTACTTTATATAATATGACGTAAAAAACTCTTAATTTTTTTTTAATATTTATGATGACTCACAAATATCCTAATTTGATAATTAATTTTTTTTGTTAAAATAAAAATTTAATAAAATTTAAATATTAAATATTCATCGTCACAAACACATTACTAACATAAAAGATTTATTTCAAACAATTTAAAATATATTTAACAAAATAAGTAAATTGATTGATCTAATTAAAATTTTATTGTTGTGAGAAAGTACAATAAAATTTAAAATTTTATAGAAAATATTTAAAAATTAGTAATAATAATAAACATTTTATGTATTAAATAAAAGGAAAGAAAAAAATGCAATTTGGAGGATTACTTGCGATATCATCATCACTTCTCCAGATTCCCGCGAGACGAAGCCCTAACTTCCCATTCTCTCTGTGTTTCACTTTCTTGCTCCATTTTCTTCGACATAATCAAGAGCGGGAAAGCAAATGTCACGCCGTGAAGCTCGGGAATCCGACTCCAAGCGCTACCGTTCCAGATTCGATAGAGAACCCAGGTACCCTCCTCATACCCCTTTCCGATTGCATCCCCTCCTCCTCATCTATAAGAATTTGTTTGGTTTAAATGGATTGTCGTTGTGTCTGCTTCAGTTCAGATTCTGGAATTTCCATGATTTTCCCCCAATATGCTTGAGTGACGCCGCGTATGGTTTAGTTTGTTTGATGGTATCTTGATGGGAAGGAACACTGTGCATTTGGCGTTCTTATTCATATTCGATTATGGCTCTTTCATTTTTGTTTGGAAAGTAAATTTGTTCAATTTGATTTGTCTATTGTTACAGTGTTGATTGATATGATATGTTTAAATGGGTCTCGGGGAATTGGGTTTTATGGAGCTCTTGTGTGTGATAGGATGAACTAGTTCATTAATTTTGGAGATCTTTTTTTTTTTTTTTTTGGAAGATGGAATAGAAATCAACTCATTCCCTCCTTATGTTGGTTGTACTGTCTTTGAGCCTTGCTCCGCTATTTTCTCACTAATGACGTGAGAGGTGGTTTTATTTGTTTAACGAAGTTTGTAAATTTGAGCTGTAAATAGTATTAGTTCAGTATTTCTTTTGTATGGAATGACGAACTAGTTCATTTATTCTTGTTTTTTTTTTTTTGTTTTTTTTTTTTATTTTATTTTATGATGGAGAATTATAATCTACAAGTTCCCATCTTATTTCTTTTTTTATGCTCCATTATTGTTCTCTCTAATGATGTGAGGTTATTCATAAACAAAGCTGTAATAGTGAGATTGGAAATTGTATTTTGAAAGCTTAATGTTTGTTCTTAGATAGGAAGCATGGACACATGTTTGACATGGATATGTATTGACATGTGATGGTATCCGACACACCAAATTCTAGAGTGTGTGTGTGTGTATATTATGGTCAACTGACCTGGCTTTTTGTGTTCTTGGTGAAACATATTTTTGCTTTTTGAATGTCAACTTTGTGTTTTTATCTAGTTTGAAATATTAAATATATCAATATGTACACATCTTCTATAAGAAAAAATGTGATGCCCATGGCATATTGTATAGAAATTAACGTGTTGCTGTGTTCGTATCATCTCTTTTGTTGTATCTATGCCCCTTTGTCTGCATCTGTGCTTGTGAAGTTCATAGGTGTGAATGTAAGTATTGACGTTGGTGGTCACTGGTGAAAGTTCCTTATATATTGTTTTTTTATCTTACCTTGTTTATTTCCATGTTATGCGCTCGAGTGCTCACATGGCTTTTGAAGTGCTTAGGCTCTGAAGTGTCTGCTAATGTGTAGTCGAAGTGATTGATGGTTGAATGTTGATTGTTGGATGCTGAATGTTGAATGTATGAGTGAAAATTGTAGTTTGCCAATCAATTTAGAACGCACATTTCTTTTATAGTTTCTTTTTGTTGATTGAATGAGCATTCAGTGGAGAGGACCTGCGTATTCTTAGAAAAAGGTTGCTTGCATATATGTATATTTCTAGCTCCAAGCTACGAAGAACATATATTTTGATTGTTACCAAAGAAATGATCGGACAATTGCTTTGGCAATGCTCAGTCTCGTAGTTGCTTATGTGTAATAGTAATAGTTTCAAATTAATTCATGGTTTTTTATGGCTAGTTGGTAGTATGTCGTTGTTATCGGCCCTGCATCATGCCAATTAAATTTCCCCAGTTCCAAAATGGTCAAAACAAATATTTCCAAGTCAAAAGTGAGGGCTCTGAATAGAAATATATTTGGATATTGCGGCAAAAATATGGCTCCATTTTTTTTTTTTTTTTTTTTTTTTTTTTTTTTTTTTTTTTTTTTTTTTTTTTTTTTTTTTGCTTATTTAATTCAAAATAATACTTCAGATTGAATAAGGGATTAATGCATGTAAGTACCATCTGATACTTAATCATGGAACTCTAATATGACTTAAATATGTTACTTATTGTTACTAGTCCAAAGAGGTCAAGGAGGGACAGGAAACCATTAGAGGAGAAGTTATCTAGAAACTCTAGTTCTCATGTTGAAGATAATAAAGATCGGGATCAGAAACACGAGCTGCGACATGAGGGACAAGATGTGACACCCCATGAGTCTTCATTAGCACTTGATTCTCATCCAGAAGGTGGGGTTAGCAAAGGAGCAAACAGGAACAGTGATGAGAGAGAGGGAGGGACTAAACGTGCATTGAATCCCACTGAAGTACCACGATCACGATCTTATTTTCAGGTTTGTGCTACATTAATTTTGATAATTTCTTTCTTATTTAGTTTTAAAAATAAAATTAGCATGATTCTAATTTGGTTTCAGTCGATGTTGTTTCGAAGTGAAATAAGGGTTTTTTAGAAGAGATTGTTTAAGGTAGACATCCCCCCAGAGCATTTTCTTCCTTGATAAAATAAAGTCTAAGGCATGCACTTTGATGTAAGCCGCCTCAGTAAGGTGCAAGGCGAGATGCTTCAGCGACACTCTTCACACTTTTTAAAACTATGTTTTAGCATGTTTTTATGGCTTAGGAAGGATGTTTGTCAGGTCAAACAAATATTAATATATTCTTTTGTTACCTTATATTTAGATGGCTGTGGAATTTCCTCATCCATATCGATAACATTAAATAGCTTAGCAAGTAATAATTCTCTATTTCTCTCTCCTCCCTTCTCCTGCCTTTTCTATTCTTTGTTGCAATTTAGATTACCCAACATTTTTGCCGGGCTGATGTAATTGGAATCTTGTTCAGCCCTGTGCCTTCAAGTGCATCCGTGTATATAACTTCTTAGGCTTGCCTGTGCATGTCTTATAACAGCACGACAAACGTGGTAGTGCCGGGCAAGTTGGTCGAAGCTTTGGTCGGAGTTCATCTAGTGGTGGGTTTCTTTACTCCCTTTTTAAGCCCAAATTTCAACTTATTTTGAGTTCTTTTCCTTATTTTTTTCTCTTGTGCAACGGTCGTGTTTATATTATAACACTGTTTTAGTATCTTCCTCAATTACTAATCATAGCAATTAAGCATGTTTTATTATTCTTATTATATCGACCCTCTTAAATAGATACTATTGTTTTTGTAGTAAATGCATTTACCCTTTTGTTCCCTCGCACTCATTGATCAGTGGTAATATAGGCATTGGCATGTCAACACAATTCTAGTGTCAAATTTAAATTTAGGGAGAGAAACTAGTGCAGTTTTGATATGTGTTCTTTTGCCTTTCATCTTAAATGGGGGATGCGTTCTTATTTTTTCACTGTTGCCCAATTGTTATATATACAATCTTTTAGAGGTTACATTTCTTTTTTCTGGACTTATATAATGACAGTGTCTTGCATGGGAAAATTTAGAACATCTCTTCAACGTTGTCATTCTTGCTTCTCCTCTCATGATTTAGAATATTTCTTTTCATTATCTTTTTTTCCTTTTTAGGACGGGGTTGGTGGAAGGATTCAAAGGAACAGGATAAGAATAGTGACAGGGCATCTGGAAAGACAGCAACTTACAATTCACAGCGAAGAGATGAGATACCACAAACCGTGAAAGAGGATAATCACACAAGGACTCGTGACGGGTCCTCAAAACTGGAGGTTGATTCATCAGCTCCTGCTCGGAAAAGGCCTGCATTTAGGGAGAAGAAGATTACACCCGACAATGAAAATTTTGAGAAGGCAGGTATGGCATCAGAGAGTAAGAAACTGAGTGATCCACACCCGCCTCAGGATGGAAGAGAGCGGAGAGAAGAAAGAGGCCGTGACACCCGTTACTCCGATAAACTTAGTAAGCACGTTACTGGAGATATGGCTTCCAAAAGGGATGAGATGAAGAGAGGAGGGTACTCGGTGAGGGAAAGGTATGGCAATGGAGGTGGTGGTGGGAATTACAGGGGAAGAGACAGATTTGGTGGGAGGCAAGGATATCCAGCCAGTGGTGGTACCCGTGTAGAGAAATGGAAGCACGATCTGTTTCACGAGGCTAACCGGAGTCCAACCCCGAAGAATGAAGAGGCCCAAATCGCCAAGGTTGAAGCTCTTCTTGCTTCATAGGATATGGAATAATTTGATGCCATCTGATTTTGTTGAGTCTTTAGTGAATATGGTTTGACAAAAATATTGAAGCATTTGAAATGATGTAGCTTGTGTTCTTCTAAAACATCCTTTCCTGTTTGTTCTCCTGCTTCTTCTTGTTTGTCACAACTCAATGTAATTGAATTTCCTGATTCTGTTCGACCCAAACTACTGCATTTCATAAGAACCCATCTCATTCGAGGTTCGGTTGAAGATCTTGAAACTCAATATTATGTGGTAAATCGATCTTATTTCCATGTTGCAGGTGAATAATCTAGACTGAAACTCAATAACATGCGAATTCTGAGCGCTGATAAGTTACGGTGGCTTATTTTGGGAACATTTCTGTCAAATATTGTAGGGTCAGACGATTGTCTTGTAAACCTATTTGGGTGTGGATAATTGATGTGAGTGCTCACAAATACCGAAAAACTCTCTCTAATATGTGTCATAATTTAGAGATATTATTGGAGAAAGTTGGTGGTACATTGAATCAAAATCATATTAATAAGTTGTCTTCGATCCATGAATGTCAAACAAGATGGGTATGAATATGGATGAAATTCATTGATTGGCGGCTTAAATCTGCTATAAATAAAGCCATGGAAAAGCAAGTAGAACTCGGAAAAGAGAGAAATGGAGACGAAAAGGGTGGTGGGTTTTGTGGCAATGGTGGTTTTGGTGGTGGTTATAGCTCAATCCGCCACCGTGGGCGCCGCCGGGGATGAGGCGATTCAGCTGTCGTCAACGCCGATTATCTGTCCTGCTACGTTTGTGCCATGTAAAACTGACTCCATCTGCTCTCCATGCTTCTGTGTTAATGGCTCCTGCGTTGAAAACAGAGGAACATGAACAATCAAACATGTCCCCATGGATGATGATGATCTCTTCAGCTATGCAGTTTTTTTTCTTTTCCTTTTAATGTTTTCTGCAGAATAAAAACTTCCCTTTTAATCTCTCTCTCTCTCCCCCCTTATTAATTAATGTGAGGCTATTAAATGATAAGACTCCAAAGTCAATATTGGTTGGTTTGACTTTTCAATTCTAAGAACAATTTTGTCAATTTAGTTGAATTATAGACATAAGAACACATTTTGGAATTTGCTTTTGAAGCCAAAATGATTTACGACACCCAAAAGAGATACCCGGCAAGGATGCATAATTTCTTGCTAAAGAAAAAATTAAGAGAATAACTCGAAACCGCTCCTACCATGATATATGAGGTTGCCAAAAGTACTAGTGTTGAGGTGACTATTGCTAGTCCAGCTCAAATGATCAATGGTAATGATTGAGTTGATTAATCCTAAGAAACTTTAGATGAAGGACACGATGCAAAACTATAAATATTCAGGAGGGTTGTTTGTCAGTGTCGCATAAAGAATGTGAGGTTTCACATCGATTGAAGAGGGGAACAAAACATTCTTTGTTGACACGTTTTAAAACCGTAAAACTGACAACGATACGTAACAAGCCAAAACGGACAATATTGGCTTGAGTTGTTAAAATGGTATCGGAACTAGACACGGGTCAGTGTGCCAGCAAGGACGTTGGGCCTCCAAAGGGATGGATTGTGAGATCTCACATTCCTTATAACGTGTGGAAACATCTCTCTATGATGACGATTTGCAATGGGTCAAAGCGGACAATAAGGGGTTTTCCAATCTTATGTAAGATTGGAAAACCCCTTATTGTCATACGCTCAAAAACACTGCTTCAGCACAACGCTCACCTGTCGTCAAAGTCAGTTGTGAAACTCGTTTGAGTTATTGTCCATGACTACGACGAGCAACGACCAAAAGAGAAGAAAATAGAGAGAAGGAAACGAGTAGAGCTAAGAGACAACGAGAAGGTTTCTTTAAACCGATTATGTTAACCTCAAATGAGGCGTCCATGTGTATGGTTGTGCATTCCTATAAAAATCTATGGTTCAAATAGAAAAGAAAGGTCCTCCACCAATAATATCTTCAATCATTCCCAGGTAACGTTTTGCTCGTGGGAACCCTATTGTATTGTATTGTATTGTAGGACACGTCCTTGTCCTTTGATGTGGATGCTTCTTAATTGTAGGGCTACTGCCCTTACTTTTTTTATTAATTCAATTTCTTTTTACTAGAATTTCACCATTTTCAAATCTTTATTTAATATTTTTGGGTCAAAATTTAAACTAAATAAACAAAAATTATTTTTAAAATTTGACTAAAAATTAAAAAAGAGTTTTGGCGGCCTCTCCCGGTAAAAACAATCGAGGAGTGAAATAGCTCGACCGTAAAGAAGAGGATCTGAATCATCCAGTCGCTTTACCGACTATACAGTGAAAGAATAAATAGGCTAAGTGATCGTTCGCTATCCGGTTAGAAAATGTAGTAAGTTAACCTCTCTTGTAAGAGGCAGCCAGATAGTAACCTAACCTTTAATTTTTTAGGACGGTTAATGCCGTTTAGGAAAGATGATAACTTCATAAACTATCTCCTCAATTTAAACATTTTAAAAAATTATTAAATAATGAGACGATTATTAGTTGAGATAGCTATTAGCGTTTATTAGGCGAGGTAATTATTAAGTTTTAAATATAACTTTATTATGCTTTAAAATTATTGTTTCTTTCATTAGAGTTTACATTATATCACAAAAAAAAAAAAAAAAAAAAAAAAAAAAAAAAAAAAAAAAAAAAAAAAAAAAAAAAAAAAAAAAAAAAAAAAAAAAAAAAAAAAAAAAAAAAAAAAAATATATATATATATATATATATATATATATATATATATATAATTGTTTTATTTATTTATTGCTAAAATTCAAAAAGGTTAAAAGTGAAATACCATTTTTTAAATAAATAAAAAAGGACAGCAATTATTCAAATGCAAAGGAAAATACAAATTAGCATGAATGCAGACTGCAATAACCAAACACGTTTTGTTTCATCTGAAAAAAATATTATAAAATTTTTCCTTTTAAAAAATTATTTGAAACTTTTCATGTTATAATTATTTTTCTTTAAATTTTGGATTAAAATATGAACTACTTCCCAGATTGGGTCCAACAAGCTTGATTATTGGAGATTAGTAAGATTATTGTATTAAAATAAGGATTAAGATAAAGTAATTAATTCTAATTAAATTCAACCAAATATAGGAACAATAAAGATAGATATCATCTTCCTCTTTCCTTTTCATAAAGTCTAAACCCAACGCGCCATGGAATCTTTTTGAGAGACTAAAGCTTCCAAGAACTGAAAATTCAAGTAACTGGGAAGCTTCGAGCTGTGCGATTCGCCATTTCTTGACAGATTTAGAATCAAATCTAGGGATTGAGCAAAACCCACGAGTTTTTAACTTAATGGGGCACCATAATTTGGGGGTTTTTCCATTTCCATGGCTTCTGCTGCTATGTCTGGTTTCCCTGTCTGCGGCGAAGTTTGTGGTGGAGAAAAATAGCTTGAGGGTTACTTCTCCTGAGAGAATCAGGGGAACTTACGATTCTGCCATTGGAAATTTTGGGATTCCTCAGTATGGAGGTAGCTTGGCGGGTATGTTGGTTTATCCTAAGGAGAATCAAAAAGGGTGTAAAGAGTTCAGTGATTTCCATGTTTCGTTCCAGTCGAAACCAGGGTCTCTTCCTCTGTTCGTCATGGTTGACCGTGGAGGTAACTTTGTTCTTGTGGTTGTTTTTTTTTTTTTTTTTTTCGTGTTTTTTAAGGTTAAATTGATTTGGTTTTGGTGATTTTGGGTTACCCTTTTGTTGATCTAGGAAGTAATACGTGAATGGTTTGATTTAGCTTTTGATGAACACCCTTCTGGTGGTTTGATGATATCTTTTTGGTTTGTTAATTCTTGTTTTTTCATACTTCTAGTTGATGATGAACTGGGTTTTTAGCTTGGTTGAAGGTCTGCTGGCTTCTAATGGCTGATTGATGGGGTGTTTCTTCTGAGAATTTTGTTCAAACTTCCTTTTGTTCTTCACTTTTTGTAAACGCCCAAACCGCCGCTAGCACTTATTGCGCTCTTTGAGTTTTCCCTTAAGGTTTTAAAACGTGTCAGCCAGTCAGAGAGAATATTTCGTTCCCCTCTCCAACCGATGTCAGATCTCACACTTTTAGAAACTAGTTCTGTAGTTGTGGTTTCGTTGCTCTTGCACATTGGGTTTTGTAGAGGCTGATGTGCTGAAGGCTTTTGTGGCTGAACGGTAATGATTTCAGCAAGAGCAGCCCGATGAAGGGAGACCTTCACGTCCAGTTCGGAGGGCGGGAATATCCCTACCTTACTATCGTTATGTCTTTGCAATCTTACTTGGTTTAACGCTTTTCTTTCTATGCTCGATAATTCTTGCACATACCATGGAAGTAACTTATCAGTTCAGAACCATTTTATGTAGGTTTTGATGTACTTTGGTTTCACTATAAGATTTCCTTATGAACCCTATGACAATGCCCTTTCAATGATTTTAGCAATTTGTCTGATATCTTATTTTGTTGCCCGTTTTCCAGACTGTTTATTTGCTCTTAAGGTTTGGAACGCCCAAAAGGTCGGTGCTTCTGCAGTTCTTGTTGCAGACCATCTCGATGAGCCATTAATTACTATGGACTCACCTGAAGAGGATGGTTCGACTGCGACATACGTACAGAATATAACCATACCATCTGCGCTTATAAGAAAGAGTTTCAGCGAACAGTTAAAGAAAGAAATCAATGCTGGTGAAATGGTCAGCCTGAGTCTTGACTGGCGAGAAGCTGTTCCGCATCCTGATGACCGTGTGGAATACGAGCTTTGGACTAATAGTAACGATGAATGTGGGTTTAAGTGTGACATGTTAATGGAATTTTTGAAAGAATTCAAGGGTGCTGCACAGATACTTGAGAGGCGTCACTATACTCAGTTTACGCCACACTATATAACTTGGTTCTGTCCCGAGGCGTTCACCTTAAGCAGACAATGCAAATCACAGTGCATCAATCATGGAAGATATTGTGCTCCTGATCCCGAGCAGGATTTTAGGTCGGGATATGATGGAAAAGATGTAGTAATTGAAAACCTGAGACAGCTATGTGTTTATCGAGCTGCAAATGATAGTGGAAAGCCCTGGGTTTGGTGGGACTATGTGACTGATTTTCAAATTCGATGTCCCATGAAGGAGAAGAAGTACAACCAGGACTGTGCTCACTCTGTAATCAAGTCACTCGGTTTGTGATTAGTGTTTTGTACTCTTTTTTTTTTTTTTTTTTTTTTTTTTTTTTTTTTTTTTTTTTTGTCGTGAAGGATAGTGGTCGGTCGTTTATCACGGTGAATGGTCCCTTAGTATTTTTCTGACCTTTTTCCCAGGGCTCGATATCGACGCAATAGAAAAGTGCATGGGAGACCCAAATGCTGATTCTGAAAATCCTGTCCTCAAAGAAGAGCAACAAGCTCAGGTTGTTCCTTTAGGAGGAAGCTTGCTATTATTTAAAGCAATTGTTTCGAGTTCTTTGTTGAAAACTATTAATCTAATACTAACAGCAACATCGTGCCTGAAAATTTATTGGTTTTAGATTGGGAAGGGATCACGGGGCGATGTAACCATATTGCCAACTCTCGTGGTCAATAATCGGCAGTATCGAGGTTTGTTCTTGCGCTTGTTGTCCTTGGATAAAATGTTGGCTGTTTCCTTAACATAGTTTTGTCCATGCAGGAAAGCTGGCTAAGGGTGCTGTTTTGAAGGCCATTTGTGCAGGTTTTGAGGAAGCTACTGAACCATCTATTTGTTTGAGTAGTGGTAAGTTGCCTTTTCTCTTCACATGGATAAGTTTTTTTAGTTGATATATGTGAGATCCCACGTCGGTTGGAGAGGAGAACGAAACGTTCCTTATAAGGGCGTGGAAACCTCTCCGTAGCAAACCCGTTTTAAAAACCTTGAGGGGAAGTCTGAAAGGGAAAACCCAAAGTGGACAATATCTGCTAGCGGTGGGCTTGGGTTGTTACAAATAGTATCAAAGCCAGGCACGTCACACACGTGCCAGTGAGGAGGTTGTGCCTCCAAGGGGGTAGATTGTGAGATCCCACATCGGTTGGAGAGGAGAACGAAACATTCTTTATAAGGGTGTGGAAACCTCTCCTTAGCAGACGCGTTTTAAAAACTTTGAGGGGAAGTCTGAAGGGGAAAGCCCAAAGAGGACAATATCTGCTAGCGGTGGGCTTGGGCTGTTAGAAATAGTATCAGAGCTAGACATCGAGCGGTGTGTTAGCGAGAACGCTGGGCTCCCAAGGGGGGTGGAATGTGAGATCCCACATCGGTTGAAAGGAGAACAAAACATTCCTTACCTTGTGTGGAAACCTCTCCTTAGCAAACCCGTTTTAAAAACCTTGAGGGGAAGCTTGAAAGGAAAAACCCAAAGAGGACAATATCTGCTAACTGTGGGCTTGGGTTGTTGCAAATAGTATCAAAGCCAGACACCGAGTGGTGTGCCAGTGAGGAGACTATGCCTCGAAGGGGGGTAGATATGCCTCTTCCTAGCATATGCGTTTTAAAACCTTGAGGGGAAGCCCAAAGAAGACAATATTTGTTAACGGTGGACATGGACGGTTACAATAAATCTACAAGTCTATAGATGAAAAACTCTCAAGCGGCGTATGATTCATTGCAGATATTGAGACAAATGAATGCTTGGAGAATAATGGTGGTTGCTGGCAGGATAAAGCAGACACCAATCTTACAGCTTGCAAGGTAGGAAACAAATCGTTCGACTCGTATCGAGTTTCTATATAACTATTTGATTGTTTTAGCTTTCAGTGATTATTTCGCACGTTTATTCAGGATACTTACCGTGGGAGGGTTTGTGAGTGCCCGTTGGTAGACGGGGTGCAGCTTAAAGGAGATGGTTACACCATCTGTGAAGGTAGGCACAATTAGCTTCATCATTTCCTTTTTCTGTAAGATAGAACATTATGCCACAGAGGGGTCAAGACCTCTGCTTAAATCACTTACAAGATATGAAAATATCATTTTGTGCAACAATTTATTGCCACTCCGTCGGTGGACTTCAAGCTGTTAAGTACGTTACGACACAACAGCTAATATTGTCTCTCTTGGACTGGCAGCTAGAGGGCCTGGAAGGTGTAACGTCAATAATGGCGGTTGTTGGCAAGAAAGTCGTAATGGACGTTCAATGTCTGCTTGTGTGGTTAGTTCTTTAAAAGCTTTTCTGTTGCCTTCTCATTAGGTTTGTTGATTATAAATTTTTCTTATTGTTGAAACAGGATAATGGGGAGGCCAAGTGTAAATGTCCTCCAGGATTTAGAGGTGATGGTGTCAAAAGTTGTGAAGGTAAGCACACTTTGATTGTTGGAACGCTCCGTTCATGGTTTTCTAGATCCTGTTGGGTTGGGGTAAAGAGCCGTAAGTGGGGGGCCCTACTAGGCCTACTACTAATAGATATTGTCCTCTTTAGGCTTTCCCTTTTGGACATCCCCTCAAGGTTTTTAAAACACGTCTACTAGGGAGAGGTTTCCACACTCTTATAAAAAATGCTTTATTCCTCTCTCCAACCAATGTGAGATCTCACAATTCACCCCCTTCGAGGCCAGCGTTCTCACTGGCACTCGTTCTCCTCTCCAATCAATGTGGGATCTTATAGTCTCTGTGCTTTCTCATTTAAATCATTGCTAGCACGAGTATAGTTTGGGTTTGGTGGGAGCGAGACCTTTCTAAGCTTCCTTTTAGTCTTCCATTGATTGGACTTTTGTGTAATTACTATCTTCTTTCTATAATATTCAACTATAAGGTCTACACCATGGGGTGCCTTAGTGTAAGGGTAGGATGGCTGGTGAAACATTCCGACGTCCGGGTTTAAGTCTTTAAGTTGAAAACATAATAACTTATGTCTCTAGTTGTCTTTTGACGCTTCTCTTCGGGTTAGTGCGGAGTAAGCCTCGAGCATATCGTAACTTACAACTTTTGAATTTCTTGTATTTTGTTTGTCCTTTTCGTTAAACAGATATTAATGAATGCAAAGAGAGGAAGGCTTGTCAATGTCCCGAGTGTAGCTGCACGAATACGTGGGGAAGCTATGACTGCAGTTGTAGTGGTGATCTTTTATACATGAGGGACCATGATACATGCATAAGTAAGTATAAATTTCAACACGATTTAATTAGTGTCGTCTAACTTCTATACTTGTTCATGTTCCATCCCTCGGAAATTGTTATAAGGCGCCGTATGCCATAGGTCTACGACCTATTCTCAGGTCATATAAGTAAACAGTCCAAGCCCACCGCTAACAAATATTGTCCACTTTTGCCTGTTACGTATCACCGTCAGCCTCATAGTTTTAAAACGCGTTTGCTAGGGAGAGGTCTCCACATCATTATAACGAACGCTTCGTTCCCCTCTTCAATCGATATGGGATTTCACAATCCACCCCTCTTGGGGGCCTAGTGTACTCACTGACACACTGTCTGGTGTCTGCATCTGATACCATTTGTAATAGGCAAAGCCCACCGCTAACAAATATTGTTCATTTTAGCCCGTTACATATCACCATCAGCCTCACAATTTTAAAACGCGTCTGTTAGGGAGAGGTCTCTACATCCTTATAATGAACGCTTCGTTCCCCTCTTCAACCAATGTGAGATCTCACAATATTAGTGAAGGAAGTCCAATCACTCCCGATCTCTTTCACGAATGCGTGAATTGTGATACTTCATTTGGAATGTATATGAATTGTTCATACGAATGAAATAAGCTCTCGAAGTTTGCTTATCGAGTAATAAACGAAAAATATAGCCAAGAACCCTCGAAAGATGCAACTATTTTCTCATCTCTCCGTCATCCTGTGCAGGTAAGCATGCTGGTGCAGTGAAATCATCTTGGAGTTTCTTTTGGGTTATCTTGATAGGCCTGGCTATTGCTGCTGGTGGAGCATATATGGTATACAAATACAGATTAAGGGTAAGCTATTTTCTGCTTGGCGGCTGCTACCGTATTGTTCGTGTTCGAGTATTATCGATCTCTAAAATAAGCTTTTCTTTTCCGAACCAAAGAAACGACCGTACTTGATAACATGCTTCTATTACTAAAACAGACAGGACAGATGTTTTTATCGACATCCTCTCTAATTTCGAAAAACCTAGGCAGACCCGACTTCTAGAATCGGAATATCCATATATAGAAGGACCCAACCTCATGCCTGGACTAGAGGTGTCCGAGATTATACCGACACGTTACACGATATATCAGGCTATGAATAGACTGTCTTTGATTTTGTTTGTGCAGGCATATATGGATTCTGAGATCAGAGCTATTATGGCACAGTATATGCCCCTGGACAGCCAAGGAGAAGTGCCAAACCATGTCCACGAGGACCATATGTGAAATCGATTAACGTCGTTCATTGTGCTTTTGAATCCAATCGTCAAATTTTTGGACATAGATCTCATGTCGTGTTGTGTTATGTTATGCTGTGGCTGTAAACTTGAAAGCGTTCATTGGTTAGAGGCTGTGAACTTGTTGACAGATGAAGATACTTGTAGGTTTTAGGTTATATGTTTGACTAGGAATTTAGCTTGAAGAATATGAGAAATCTGCCAACAACATAACTTAGCTTCATGACATTGCTCTCTGTTCATGTTGGATAAAACACGTTTTTTTTCTTCTCGTCTTTGTCTGTGTATCTTTGTACCAATAGAGATGATTGTACATACAGTTGAATAACTTCGAGCCGTGGCCTTGAAGCAAAATGAGAATAAAGTCGGTGTTGAGACAATAGAAAAGAAAAATTCTCGTCTTTTTTTTTTCTTTATCTTGTATTCTTATCTCGTTCTTCTCTCCAATCGATGTGGGATCTCTCGATCCACCCCCTTTTGGGGCCCAGCGTCCTTGCTAGCTCACCACCTCGTGTCCATCCTTCTTCAAGGCTCAACCTCATGTTGGCTCACTGCATCGTGTCCACCTCTCTTCAGGGCTCAGCCTCGTGTTGGCTTCTTGCCTCATGTCCACCCCTCTTTAGGGCTCAGCCTTCTCACTAGCACATTGCCCGCTCAGTGTTCTTGCTGGCTCACTGCCTCGTGTCCACCTCTCTTCAGGGCTCAGCCTCCTCACTGGCACATTACCTGCCCAGCGTCCTTGTTGGCTCACCGCCTCGTGTCCACCCCTCTTCAGGGCTCAGCCTCCTCGCTGGCACATTGCCTGCCCAGCGTCCTTGATGGCTCACCGCCTTGTGTCCACCCCTCTTCAGGGCTCAGCCTCCTTGCTGGCACATTACCTGCCCAGCGTCCTTACTAGCTCACCGCCTCGTGTCCACCCCTTTTTAGGGCTCAGCCTCCTCGCTGGCACATTGCTCAGTATCTGTCTCTGATATCATTTGTAACAGCCCAAACCCAGCGCTAACAGATATTGCTCTCTTTGGATTTTTCCGAGCTTTCTCTTTCGGGATTCCCCTCAAGGTTTTTAAAACGCGCCTACTAGGGAGAGGTTTTCACATCCTTATAAAGAATGCTTCGTTCTCCTCCCCAATTGATATGGGATCTCACACTAACGGTGATACGTAGCAGGCTAAAGCAGATAATATCTATTATCGATGGGCTTGAGCTGTTACATATCAAATCTCTAACCTCTTGATCGGAAGTATATATTTTAACTAGTCATTCAAATATTATAAACATATAAAGTTATCAAATTGGATAATTAGCATTAGAAAGATCAAACTAAACAACTTGAACTTCCCAAATTACATAGCTTAAAAGGAGCAAAATTACACATCCCTTCTCATGATTATACCCTCTTGAATCCAAAATGAATGAGAGTCTTAACCTTAAAATCTGCTAATTAAAATGGGACCTCTATCACCTTTGTTCCTACAACAAGAAACAATATCTACTGTGATGCATTGTCTTGCTTCATGAGCTTCAAGTTAAGTCCAATATCCATTCCATTGTAAGCAATTGGCGCATACATCCATAGATCATCAGAGCTCAACAGCTGCAAAGATTAAATTCAACACAAGAATCAAGCCTTGATTCAAGAACATATCCCCCGATCTCTTGAATCATCATTTACCTTGATTTGAAGCTGCAAGAACTTCACATATTCAACAGCTTCTTCAAGCATTGTACTGATATCAACCTGCAAGCCAGATCGAATGAGACTTATATCAGCGATTAAACACTGATATCGTTTGAGATATGATCGTTGGATATCGATATCGACTTACCTTCGTGCCATTCGGGACGAGGCTTTGTAAGATCTTCAACCTTTCATTGATTCTTTCTCTTCTTTTCTGAATGAAAATTCGTTTAAGATTTTTGATATCAAAGTGTAGGGAAATGAAAGAATCAGGGGAGTGGTCTAGAGTTTAAAGGGTTACCCTTGCATAAAGGCTTTGAGGGTCAGTGGCTGAGCCTCTACTAGCTCTTGGCTTCCCATTTGAGGTCAAAGAGGCAGACCCTTTTGAGCTTGAACTTGAACTAATTCCACCATTGATTTCTTGAGACTCCTCAGAGCTGAAGCTACTTGTGCACTGACCAATGTGATCCTCTTCATTGCAGCTAGCCGAACAAAGCTTCATGATCTTCGGTGGCCTGGTGTTCCTCTTCTTCGAGTTCTCGACGACCGACATCGATGCAACTTTCTCATGTATCTCAGCTTTCCTCTTTTTCCCATTGACAGCAACAGCAGCAGCAGCAGGGTCAGCAAGGGAGTGTTGCAGCCTACATTGCCTTGTTTTTCGACTCGAACTGTTGTCGTCCAAACGATCGTCCTCCATCGAGAAATCCAAGGACAAAGAAGCACCATTAGGCAGCCAAAGAGGGAGGGAATCTGATGAATAATAAGATGGCTCATCCATGGCTGCCATGGACAGTGATGGTGGTTCATTGGATTCCCAATAAGCACAAGGGATTTCCAAGCTCAAATCTGAGCTTAGCTCATTTGGGAGACAGTAATTACTGAGAAAATTAGCCATGAAATCAGATTCCTCAGAGATCCATTCTCTTTCTGCTATAGGCTCCATTGTTCTATCTTAAGAACAGAAGATTTTGGTTTGTTCTTTGATTCTTGAGAAGATAATTGATGAACAAGCTCATATTTATAATGTGATAGCAACAAAATGAAGTTGACTTCACTTGAATTAATAAAGGAAATCATCACAGTTTATAAATGGGCCCAGAAGCCAACTCAAATGATTAACCAACTGTCATGGATGGATTAAAAAATGCAGCTTTTCAGTTCATCCAAAGTATGAACTTAAATTTAATACTCAATCACCTGAAAAAAGAGGGATTCTTTTTGTTTTTTAGTTCAAGAGATATCAGTTTAGGCTTGTTGATCATGATTAGGAGTATCAAAATGGAGATAAGACAAGAACAAAAGGAAAATGATGAACTTGGTTGGTGGTACTTGGGAGAATGAGTCCAGAATTTTATATGTTGCAAAGAATAAAATAGGTTTTAGATAGAATGAAGGTTGTTGTTGACAAAATGACCTGTGATATCTAGAAGAGTCTTAGATACAAGAAGGATCCACCGCTCGCAGATATTGTCAGCTTTGGTCTGTTATGTATCGTCATCTACCTCATGATTTTAAAACACTGTCTACTAGGGAGAAGTATCTACACCTTTAGTTTCCCTCTCCAACCGAGGTGAGATCTCACAATCCACCCCCTTAAGGACCTAGAAGGCTATTGTTAGTAGATATTGTCAACTTTGGCCTGTTACATAACGCTATCAGTCTCACAGTTTTAAAACAGGTCTATTAGGAAGAGGTTTTCACTCTTAGTTTTCCTCTCCAACTAATGTGAGATCTCACAATCTACCCCCTTGGGGTCCAACGTCCTTACTGGCACACTGCACGATGATTCGCTCTGATACCAATTGTAGTAATTCAAGTCCACCGTTAGTAGAGGTTTCCACACTTTTACACGGAAGGTTTCGTTCTTCTCTCCAACTAATGCAGGATCTCACATACACAATCTCTCTTTTTATACTTTTTTTTTATCTAGGTTCTCGGTCGGCATAGAAATTCTACCCGAACCCTCATGTACACTCTTCTCCATCCACAGCTTAAGAAGTTAGTTTTATGTCTACATAACATCAGGGTCACCCCCTTCATTCTATACTAACTCCGATTTAGATTGACCTTTTTTTGTTCAACCGTAAGTTCGATCTTTTACCGCTCTACGAGAAGAAAGGACCCTTCCCAAAAAAAAACTACAATAATTTTGTGGGTTGTGGTGATAATGACCTTTGTGACCCTATTTTAATCTCTAAAGAGTGGAATGCTTTGAGTTTAAAATTGAAGAGTATGCCCTTTGGAACTACTCTTAGGGCATAAATACCATAAATAAGTGTCTTTTCCATTCATTCAAAAACTTTTAACTCAATTAATAAGTAAATAAGACCTCGATTAAGGGACAACGACAATTAATCACGTTTAAATTTATCATAAATTATTAATTTCAGCTCCGTATAAAAACTATTCTTATTTTTTTTTGTATTATTCTAGAAAAAACAACATCTAAAATTTTAATTAAATTTTAAAAATTTAAAATGGAATGTTACACTAGATTTGAATCTAACTTAGGTTAAATTATAATTTTCATAATTATGCAATTTTATATAAATATTATAACAACTATTTTGGCATTATTGGTTTTATTTGACCGACCTACGATATATAATTTCAAAGTCTAGCCTCGTGTTAACCCAGACAAGAAAGATTTCATTCTGAATATTAAACAAATTCAGATTTTCCTGTTTGGAATATATGCTGTTTTTGAAGATATTCATATTTTAAAAATAAAATTAAAAAATAAAAACATAAGCTGGAATGGGATGACAAATTTTTAAAAAAAAATTCACTTTATTTTATGAGTGGTCCATGGATTTCAAGGCAAATTTAAAAAGCGTTTAATTCTCGGGTTAGATTTAGACGACGTCAAGAAAAAAAAATGTTATTATTATTATTTTACCATTTAATAAAAAAATTATTAAATTAAATATCAAAATCCAAATTAAATCCTCTTCCAACGTTGTTCGTGAGGAATAGTTCTTGTAAGAATTAAACGATGTTTGGATAATTTATTTTTTAAAATAAATAATTTATAAGAGTGTAAACTTGATATATTATAAGAGTGTCAAATTTGTAAATTTAATTCAATAAATCAAATTTAACCATAAAGTCATAAATTAGAATTAAAATAATAATAATAACAAAGGGATGTGTGTATGTATATGTATGTATATATATTAAAAGGTAAATTAATAGAAATATTTTATATAGAAAAAATTATCTAAAAAATAATAATAAAGGTATTTTTTTTAACATTTTTTAAAAAATAAGAATATTTTTAACTATACATTAATATTTTTTTTATTAATTTAGCAAAAACTAAATAATTGATAAATAATTATAATCAAATAAAAAATTGGGCAAAGAATAAATAATATCGCATAAAATAAAATAAAAATACACGGTTGCTATAAAAGAATGAACAAAATCAATATCTTTTTTTAAAAAATAATTATAAATATTCTTGTAAAAAAAACAATTAATTCAAATTCCCAATAAAATAACTAAAATATGCCCGCATTTCTCCATTAATTTAACATAAATTTAAAAATAATTATTATATGAATTAAATTTTGTTTATTACTCATAAAATCCTT